CAGCTATCTTAACTCTCCCGAACAATGCCCAAAGATCGAAGCATTTAAAACGCAATTTTCTAATCGCGACAATCAATGAACTGATTGTTAAATTGCAAACAGAGCGTCTCGCTTATCAGCTGTTGAGTTCACAATACACTATCAGCTGATAGTTGCGCAACCAGCTGACGCATGCTGAGAACACAAAGCGTGAACAACGAACAACAGTCTTCCAGCGACAAAACTGACGTCTGTCATGTACAGTTAGCATGAGAATAATATTTGGACATGATTGTCGGTTGTTATAGTGCTAACAGTTCAACATTTAGTTCAAACAGATCTTTTATCTCTGGTATACTTAAGAAATCGTGGTAATTGCAACAACGTAGGCTAATGCCTAAATAGACTAGGCCTAGACAGTGTGTGATGGACTATATTATGTTGCACCGTTATACAAGCTAACTAAAAAACCTACTAATTCGTACTGTTTTGATTTTTATAAGAACAGCTGATGCCGATGTTTAGAGGCGACACGTACTCGTTTAAAAAAATAACAAATTCACATTCAAGAAGTCAATCTTATTTTAGTGAAACATACAATGTGAAATTCCGGCACCAAAACATTTTGATAATGTATTTTTACTATCGGGAAATCGGGACTATTTTCTTAGGCGAAATTCGCGTTAACAGCTCGACTCCAATTGATTTTTTGTCCTAGGGAGAGAAATAAGTACTTTTTAAAATGAAAATGCATATATCGATTGAAATTTATTTTCGTTTTCGTGAAGTATGAGGGAAATCTGTTTAATAGAATCGGAATCTTCACTTACTAAACCAATAAACTGGGTTGAGAAACATTTTCTCAATGTGCACGTGTCCTCTATCATTCCTAACCTCCATTTGTACAAACCTTTAATATTATTGTTAGACTACGCTAAGAATAAAACATCTGTTTGTGATCCTTTACAGTTCCTCATCCCCATCCCTACGTGGTTTTTCTTTCGTGATTTATAGCGTTGGTGGTTGACTTAGTTGGTTTAGTCTAGCTCGTTTTAGATACTTTAACCTGAGATTTTAACCCGAAACCTGAAAACTTGTATACTGATCTTGACGTAAAAATACCTCAACATTCCCTTAAAACCGACTCACCGTCACCAAAACACTCAACAAACTAAAGATCTTTGTCCATTTAGTTGATATCCTCATAATTCTGTAGAAATTGAACAAAATCTGTGTCCAAACATTTAGATTTTCTGCACTTCCAAACTCTAAAGGCCCTAGCGCACTTTGTTTACTGAATATTCCCCAGACGAAGGGACGAACTATTACTGCATACTTTCATTAGCTTGATTATAAAACACACGGGTGAAATTGAAACCGACGGTGATGGCGTACAGTAATCACTTCCCACCAGTTTCCCTTGTAACTTTCTAGCGGCAAGGTTGCCTACCGCGCCAAGGAGAAGGTTTCACGCCAAACCGGGCGTCGGCGAGGCCTACGACGTCCCTACAAACTGGGGATATTTGTGTCGGCGAGGCCTACGACGTCCCTACAAACTGGGGATATTTGTGTCGGCGAGGCCTACGACGTCCCTACAAACTGGGGATATTTGTGTCGGCGAGGCCTACGACGTCCCTACAAACTGGGGATATTTGTGTCGGCGAGGCCTACGACGTCCCTACAAACCGGGGATATTTGTAGCTTCGGTAATAATTTATATCAGGCAAGTGTATGGTATTTTTAGGAAATTACCAAACAAATAGGCCTATTTAATACCCCCTCCGGACCAAGGTGTTTTTACTCAAATGTTCCAACAATTTAACAAATTTGGTTTTTTGCTTCTAGGGACACAAAAGTGAAAAATTTAATTGGTCCATGGTGTATATATTTCCGTGAGCTATACAGTAATAGCTTCTTCTCTAAGGGAAAATTCATACGATCATATAATTGTTTTTTTAAGTCTATTAACGGTTTCAAAATGTTTTTGTACCAGAAAGCTTGTAGTGATTTTTTCAATAGCAGGATTTTTAAATCAGTCCTCCAAGGCCATGATCACTCATAAGTCATAAGTCATTTATTTAGCCAAATTAACCAAATACAATCAGCGTTAGCCATGTCAAAATAAACTAAAATACAAAACTTCTTATGTAGTACATTTTTATAACTATTTACAAGCGGTTATGACTACCAGCCAAAAAATCCCGGACGCTGTAGTAAACCCCATTCAAGAGCAGTCTCTTCACTGCTCGTTTGAAAGTCTGGTGATCCTGCTCAGTCTTCAACCTCAGAGGAAGGCTATTGTACAGCTTTGTAGCGTTGTACTGAAAATGGTGTTGGAAGAATGAAGTGGAGTGTTTGGGGATGGGAATGTTGTTAGTGTTTCGAAGAGAATACTGGTGACAAGAAGCAACATCAAACATTTCAAGATTCTTTTTTACAAACGACAGCGTCTCCAAAATGTACAAAGAAGGAAATGGTAAAATTTTATACTGCCTAAAGATTTCCCTGCAAGATTGTTTTTTTGAGAGGGAGAAGATTACTCTTATAGCCTTCTTTTGGAGACGAAACAATAGCAGAGTCCTTTGGTTTTCACTTCCCCAGACAGATACAGCATATGATAGATATGGAAATACTATGCCATAGTACGCTGACAGAAGTACCTCAATACCAGCCTTTTGTTTCAGAGTTCAAAGAACAAAAACCCCAGTGGAGACTTAACTGGTTACACTTTCAATGTGATGGCGAAAGTTCAGATTTTCGTCCAATATCAAACCAAGAAACTTAACATTTTGGGACTAGGTCACAACTTTGTCTTCTAGAAGAATGTTAAGACCACAGTTGTTTGCTGACGATGACCTATTTGACATGCGAAAGTTCAACATTTGAGTTTTCTCTGCATTTAAAATCAGCTGATTTTCATTACACCATTGCAGAAGTCTGTTTGACTCTAAAAATGCCTTTAGTTCCAAGGATTCCATAGATGCACTGGAAAGAGTGAGGGACGTGTCATCGGCAAATAGGCAAGTCTTAGATAAGCTGACACGTTTAGGTAGGCTGTTAATGAAGATAAGGAACAACGTGGGACTCAATAACGTCGGAAATGTATAACGACCCCAGAAAACTCCACAAAATACATGAGATTGTGTGAAAATCAATATTTTTTTTTAGTTGCAAAAGCAATGAATTTACATCTACATAATTAATACGCTACATGAAACTTTGTCAGTTAAACTCCTCCGCCATTTCTTAACCGATTTGATCCATTTACGTCTCATTGGAAAGAGATGTCGCGTAGATTTGCAAACTGGCCTTACATTTTTGAAAAAGTCCCTTGGGCTCTGCCCCAGTGGCTTTGAAAGTTCCCATGTTATCCTTATGAAGAACATAATTGTTTAAATTTTGATCAGCTGTATAATATAATTGCTGTTATTTATTTTTCGATTCAAAGTCTTCTCTCATCGGAAATTTGGATGACTTTAATTTGTTTTTTATACAACTACTTTACTTCTCTGCAATTGCTCGATTTCGAGCAACGTGTTTACTAGTAGGGTGAATAGATCAGAACACTATACACATGGTGAGCAAAATGTTTTTCCAAACCAACCTAAAACTACATGATTCAACAGTTTGAAACCTTCCTGTAAATTTACTATACAAAAGTGCAATTTGATTTAAAGAGCCCCATGCATTTCTATTGGAGTTAAATTTGGTTTTTCTTTTTAGAGTTCATTAGGCTCTTCTACCCGACCAATTTTCATGATTGAGGTCTCAAATTGAAGGTATGCACTTACAGATTTCATATCAAGCATCGGCATATATTTTTATCTACTGTATTACTCGACCAAAAAACATAAATTTGATTTATTTTTGAGTTCTTACTTCAATTTAAGATGTATTTTATCAACAGTAAAATATAGGCTTTTCTTTGAGCTATCGATTGCTTGAATCAGTTAAGTTCAAGATACTGTATTACTCAATCGAATTTGATAAAATTGATTCGTGGATATGATATTTATATCAACGCTGCAGAGCAACGTAAGTCCTCTAGTTATCTATAATACATGTGTTATATACATAATTCAGACAAAAACAGATTTTACCATAAGATACATTGTACTACTTTGACACAGTTGATTTAACCAAAAATAATTATTTATTTAAACAAACCTCAGACAACAGGTTTTCTTAATATTTTGTAATTTTTAAATGATGTGATCCGCCTAAAACGGGCATAAAATTAATTAGGCTATACTATTCGATGATTGTCACTTTTGAGTACAATGCCTCGACAGTCTAAGTTCGTCCGGTTGTGTGCATCGGCCAAGCAAATATAGCAAGCACTCTGAGCCTCCTCTATAAATACATTAGATTCCCTTGAACTGAACCTTGTTGCAAACGCTTCCACTTCACGCTTATTTATGTTTTTCCTCTTAAAACACAATTCTTGTGAAAATGATTTTTCACAGAAACACAAGATTTAGTTCTTGAGTTTTGGAAAGTAATGCTAAGCCGTTTATACAACTTAAAAATCACTTATGTTGTGAAACAGCTGACTATCTTGGTTTAAACCTTCTTTTACTTAGCATACGATATAATTTAATCTAACATGCTGTTTACTCTAACATAGTGTGGACTGATCCTCATTGACGTTCTACGCCAAACTCAACACTTGCGCCCCCCGTTCTCAAGCCTGGTTAGCTTGCTAGTTGCAGTAGTTTACCATACCAGTGAGAAAACAGAATAACTAATTTTTCAATTTAAATTGTCTAGGGTTAACGAGATAATACGACAGCCAGAGGCATAAAAGATGACTGGTGACATCCCCCAAAAAAATACTACCTTTGTCGTTGGATTGCATGCATAAGTTGTGTTGCTGTTAAATATTATTATATTTTGATCATATTGTAGTTATATTAACATTTCATTGTTCAACTGAGGCTCTGATTCAATTCCTTAGTCTAATAATCAGCTGTAATTGAAAAGTTACATATACATGCCATGGGAAAATATCATAGTCTTACCTCGTAGACATTAGGATGCCAAACTTTGGTGAGGAAACGAATCGTGGGTGGAGAGTATGGATAATCATGTGGAAATTTCATGTGAGCCTGAAACAAAAATGACAGTTTAAATTTTGTAGGCTTACTACAAGAGTGAATTATAAATAGTCCTAATGATAGTTTAAAGTACACCTGTTCTTATGTATGACATGTACTTTATAAAGAACGTATTGTGTAAATAAAATATGTCTTATGTCTTATGTCTAAGTAACACACCTATTCCTGGTCATCTTTAGCCGATGCTTGCTTGTGAGACAGCATTGCCACCTAGATAGCCTGCTCCTGTTCACGCAAATGTGTTAGACACACCTGTGGTGTGCCAAGGGATGAGTGCAGCCCGAGACCGTCCACACGCTCAGTTCTAGAGCCTGATATCTCTAGGCTTCACCTGTCAACTCTCAGTCCGTTGTTAGCCCCCACGGAGGGAGTTTTGCTCTGGTTAATGTTCGCTAGTTTAATTCTTAAAAAGCATCGTGCCAAATTGAAAGGAAACTATCAACGCCCACAATGCATAAGACAGTGGTTGCTGAGACATTTTTTAATGCACTTTATTCTTAAATATTACCTGTCAGAAACTAAGAAAACTCTTAGAAAGTTCAATAAACTCTGAGAGAAATTCTGTCTGTCGAATATCCGTTATTTTAACAGTTGATACACACACTGAAGAGTGAATAAAACATCGACTGAATGAGTAAAATCGCCTAAGATGGGTAAATAGATGTGCGAACTTGTCAAAAGAGTTTGCTCCAACCACAGCCAAGATCTGTCTGCACAAAACAGGTCGTGCTTTCTGAACACAATAGCCTATAAAGAACACCGACCAGATCCTAAACCATTAACAAAAATCCGCGTTTGCTCAACACCTTGTAGATTATAATCACTCAATGAGTGATATTAAGACCGGCTTGGAAGTTTTACATTATTGCGGGAAAGGTAATAAATTGGACACACTTGAGGAGTATGAAATATATAAAATGAACATAGCCTAAACTAAAAACACAAAGAATACATTCTCAACGATAAACTACAGTTCAAGTCCCACTCCCTCTTCAACACTGCTATCTCATCTGGAACAGCTGACCACCGAGCTGATAACAGAGAAGGACAAGACGGAGTTATAACCCGTGTCAAGTCTACCTACAACCGCTGCCGTGCCGTGACATGATAGCGCCATTGTGTTATTTTGTGACTAAATGTCCCGTGTATATGTATATGTATATGTAAATTTTAATGTTTTTGACGTAAAGCTCCGACGATGATGCATTGCAACGAAACATGCCGCTTTTAACTTAATACAATTGAAGTTAGACGCAATTTTGGACTACTGACGGAGGTAAGCCTAATGAAGAACTAATGAATACTACACAGCCAAGAGTTACAGTTGTTACAGACATTTGACGTTTTTCCTTAAACCTCACACGTCGTCACAGAAATGTGCGCACATCTCAATTTTGTTATAATCTGCAGTACACACACTCACATTTAACATCAGGTGTGTCCACATATTTGTGTGAAAAAGTGTGAGCGTGTGGACCGGGTCTAAGCTGAATATGAATAGGCCTATGAGGCGAGTGTAAATGGAGTGAGATCAGATGATGATCTGTGTATCTTTACTGACTCACATCGTCTGCTTCTTTAGCCAGGACCACTAATTAAAAGCTCAATAATGAAGTACCGGTACAGATACGCATTGTTCCGATCAAAAAGCTACTGGCTTCTCTTTAGATCGAACTGGCGACCTTTTGATTACAAGGCGAGCAGTGTAAGCACTCCTAACTCCCTAGCAGTTCTGCAGTCGCAACACCATACAATTCAAGTTACTTTACCAAAATCGTTCTATACCACAAAGCAGGTTTATTCTTGCTAATTTTATTCCAAAACCGCGAGGAATCTGCTAGTTGCCATCTAAAATTGGGCTTTTAGCGAATTTCCCTATAGGGAAGTAGCTATTACCGTAGGTCTCATGGTAAGACCTATGCCCGGGACCGATTTACTTTTTCATTTTGATGTCCCCAGAGGCCAAAAACACCATTCGTTCAAATTTTTATATATCTATATATAGAGAGATATATATATATATATGTGTCCATCCGCACGATAACTTGAGTAATTTTTGTCCGATTTTGATAAAATTTGGTTTGAAGGTGTAAGGCAGGATAAACTTGAATGAGTTCGCGAACCAGCATGATCGGACTATGGGAACGGGGGTTTATGGGGGGTTTTATGGGGTAGAAATAGGTTTTTCCCATTTTTGACCCTAAAAACACAAGATTTTTACAATTTCTTTTTAAACCATTTTGTAGAGCTTAAAAAAACAAATAATTTAGTATATTGAAGCGTTATTATCCGCCTAATTGTTACGGAGAAAATTCAAAAAAATTGTAATTTTAAAATTCCCATGTTATTCTTATGGAGAATAAGTCAACTGTTGTAGTTTGCTTGTTTATGAACATATTTTGATCAAATTTGGAAAATACATTTAATTTCTTACTAAACCACAGTACCTTTTAATATTTTACATTAAAAAAAACTTTTTTACCCTCCCTGTTGCAGCAAACCTAAGTACTCATTAAACTAATTCTGTTTAAATAGGGAATAAATGTGATATTTTTAAGGAGACAATTTAGTTTAAATCTAATCAGGCAGATGGAAATTCGCTAAGTCTGCAGGTTTGCTGCGGCGGGGGTATTTAGTATTTGTGAAATGGACTGAGTCAGTACAGAGTACATAGTAAACAAAATTGACTCAGGAATAGCACCTTCTAATACAAGGGCGAGACCAAAGAGACAACACTGCTGTATCCCAGCAACCAGAAACAGCAGTTGCACTAATTTATAATAAAGTGTCTACGCAATTTTTATGTTTACACGCTTGTTATTTCTGTTATTACCATGACAACAGGCTGGCCGATGCGACGTTGCCATTCCCACACATAAAAGGTAGCCTTATGAACCAGGCCTTAAGTAAGTGCCCTAATAGGCTAGGCTAATAGCCTACTAATGTTGGATATTGAAAAATTTAAATTATTAAATATGAGGGTACTGGGTACTGGTTATCAAATTATTTTACCCCTTAAGTTCGGTTTTAACACAAAAATTAATTTATTTCCAAAATCAACTGTCCATTACCATAGACTACTGCTGTTACAGTAGCCGTACAAGTGGTACAAGCTGTTACAGTTATACAGTACAAGTGGTACAAGTGACATCACGGGGCGATCCAGAGGTGACAGTGTGTAAACTGATAAGGCAATGTATGCGACCAGCAAAGTTATCTTACGTTTTGTCATATTTATGTACCGTATTGGTTTGACCGTTCATATGAGTACCGGTAGGCCTAGATAAATAAATGTGCAATGTTTAGTTTACCGGCACAAGATACAACCAATGACCTACAGTAGGCCAACTATGTTCGGTATTTTTTACGGCTCTAAGCATGGTTCATATTTCGACAAGCTAATTTTATTTATGTAGTGATTTGGTTTCATTTGGTGGATTAGAAGTTAGGAAAGTTTAAAAATGTAAACAAGCAGAACAACTTTCCATCCTTGCATGCTTTTTCTGTCATTAATTTGCTAACTTAACATAACAGTTAGAAGCTTAGTTTTCAGCAGATAATTTACTGTGCTGGTCTTTAAGGCGAGTGTACATTGCGTTTTAGACCTTTTTTCCTTTTAATGTCCATAAAACGTTTTATTCCCTACCCCATCATCCCAGTTCCCATCGGTCCTTGTATGGTATATGGTAGGATAGATTAAAGGTCTTGTCGCTATTTTACGTATCTTCTTATTTGTGCAGTCTAGTTAGCAAGTGAAGCCTTCCTAACAACCATCCATCATGGACTGTTCCAGTCGCCTAACCTATGGCATACTTCTCTAGGGCCATGCTTCAGGATGTAATGAAGTACTTCAAAAGGCTACAAAAATCTGTCTTGAGAGCCATAAAATCTAGTGCTTCCTTGTAATAATGCAAAAACCAATCTAGAAGGCTGAAAGTCCACACTACCATCAGGCTACATAGGCATATTCTCCTCCCTTGTAAATACTGTACCTACATGTTAGGTGTAGTAGGTTAGGATTGAGCTAACTTATCGTACTAAAGATCAGAGGAGATTTTCACAATATTAGACACAGCAGAAACAAAATTTAACTTATAGCCTAACTTAAGACTGAATTCCACCTCACAGAAACCCAGTGCCGAGATCAGCAGTGTCCAGAGAAAAATGTTATAAAAATGGTAGAGTGCCCATCAGCTCCCTGCCAAGTTTTGTTTTAGGTTTCAATTTTTTTCCTTATAGGCTAAGTTAGGCCTAGGTAACCAGAATAAATTTTTTTTTAAGTTGAAAATGTTGTAAGTTAAACCAACTTCACTTTAAAAGTTGAGGCAGTTTATCCAGCTGTGCTAGTCAACAACGCAGATTTAAGAAGTTATGTTAACAAGGTAAGTTACCAGTAATAAGACAACTTACTTACATACCTCAGAGGTATAGGCCCTAAGTTAACTTAGCTTTCTTTAGGCTGCTGTTTTTTTGCTTAGACCTTGGCATAAGTTACACTGATGCTAACTTATCTTATCCCTCGTTCGATAGATCTAGGCTAACTTAATCTAGCTGGATGGTTACAGTGCTTAAGTTACTCGCCTATCGGTATTCATCTGAAGGTCGCCTGCACGATCTTGAGAAAAATTAGTGGGGCCTAGATTTTATAGGTACTAAGTTTAGGTGTAAAACTTACCCCCCCCCCCTTCCTACACCCAGTAATTAGTGATTTAGAGATTTGAGGACACTATCAATATAGCCTACTGGCATTTACATTAACCAAGATGGGCTACATTTCTACTTAGGACATGGAAGTGAATGTCATAAACCATTCCATTGACATGTGTAATATCTTGTTAGGCCTATTTTAAATAGCAATAGAAGCTTACCTTGAAGTATCCTCCTTGGTACAATGTTTCTGGAGGTCCAAAAATTGCAACTTCCCACTCAAATAAATTGTCATCATTAGCAAGTTTTACACGAAATCCCTCAACTGGTTCTTCCTGTAAACTCTTATATTCTAAGGCCAAAGCACGTAAAGCACTACTGGTTGGCTGTTGAGCCATCTAGGCCTATTCCACTGATCACTCGTTAAATCGACAAACAAAATATTCTTCAAAAATAAATAGCCATGGACAATAAATGCTTAAACACAGTAGTTATTTAACTGAACTATGACGTCACGGACAATGAAAATCTTTCATGTACAGTTAGCAAATGAGGTATAAGTTAGAAACATACTTTCAAAACAAGAACATTGGTCTACCAGTGAGAAAACAAGAAAATAAAAAGAAACACACAAATTTTCTTTGAATACGCACTAAAAGTTCACTGTTTAACACGAGTTTGTGTCCCAACTCGAACTAAAACAAATCACAATCAGCTGCAACAACACTACAACTACACAAGGTAACACGAACGACACGACAAGAAACAACAGAACAGAAGGAGCAGAGACTTTACTTACACTGAGTGAGAACAATAATAAGAATAGTGAGAACAATAAGAAGAAGCTTAGAAAATAAGAAAACGGAATTGTAGTGGCTAATGCCATCACAGCTCTTCATCTGCTAGCTACTATAAAGAATGTAAGATCAAAAGTAACTGTTCAATTTCCAATTTGTTTGTTAACAGCAGAATATAGTAACCTTGCAAAAAACATAACGTAAATTGTGTTATAGGTACCATCTTATTTCATCTCATTTACATGATACCATTACAACAGAGTGCCTAATCGTATTTGTGGATTACGCATACCTCGTTTGAATTTAAATTCATCATTGCTATGGAATTTAATGACATTTCCATCGTGGTTCCGGTTTAAATAGAGAAACCTGCTTTATAGTTGTAGAAAAAATATAATGTTCAACACGAGTGCAAAGTTCCTTTTCTGCACTCGAGAAATTTTCCAACCTCGCCTGCGGCTCGTGCGTTAACATTTCTCTCGTGTGTAGCAAAGTGCCACTTTTTTTTTTATGAATACATGCATATTATTACTTTGCCCACTAGTTACACAAATAACTATTATTTACTATGCATTTGTTAATTTCACTGGTTTGGAACTGTAATTTAACCAAATAAAACGATATAATTATAAGCAATATCCCATCCTCTATACAGCTTGTTTTATCAAACGTTTTCAATTGATATATTAAATAAATAAAGCACATCAAAAAATCAACCCTAAGATGGGTAAACAAACAATATACACCTTACCAAAGAACTCAGACTACAATAAAAGTAAATCAGCACAGACTCGTCGTCACTACAGCTGGACTCATCAATCCATACTAACCACCTTCACACCAAGAGACCCCCAACCATCCATGACTGATGAATACTCGGTAGATCGTAACAAGAGGTGCAAATAGGTGTTATGGATCGTCTGTCCACTGGACTGACGATTTGGATGGTGAGTGTTTACAGCCTCTGGATATCTGCATGTAGATGTCGGGTTGTCTACAGACTATGTATTGGACTATGGTTTTGGCTATGACTATGTATTTGCATGAAGGATGAGACCGTCTAGGTTTGGTTTTAACTCAACAACTTACCACCGAAAAAAGTTTAGAGAGGTGCCTGATGTTGGCGACCAGAGGTTGAACTACCAACTAGCGGGTACAAAATACCAATTACAGTACTATATGAAATTTAGATTTAGATTTAGATTTGTTGTCATGAGAGCCGAAGCCCCCTGACTGCTTACCCGGTACCTATCCTTCAGGACATACCCGGGCCCCATGATGTAGGCCGAAGCTTACGCATCAACCTTTAGCACATCATGGGCGGATGACTTAAGGTCATCAGGCTCGCCGGCTGCCGAAGCAGACCCTTCGGAAAGAGGGTTGCCCCTCAATCCTAACCAGGGATTCCGGCTGCTTGTTTAAGCGTCACTCCACCTGGGTTCCACTAGGTCGGAACCTAGAGGTCCATAGTAGAGCGCCCCGACGCATTTAGTGCAAGCAACACTCGGGACCTATCTAATCCCTGACAGGCAGAACCCGCCATCAATAGCCAGGAGGAAGGGGACCATCAGCACACTGACGGGGGGAACCCCAACCTCCCATTTACACCGCTGCCCGATCGAGGCCTGACCCATTGCTGGGAACCAGAGATATCCAGAGCGATAGATCCCCAGATACCCCTGGCGGGCTCGGACCCAGCACCCGATCTACTTCGTTTGCCCGTCAGACCCAACATCACTGCCAGGCCATCAGGGTTTCCCAAAAGGAGGCAGGTATAGAAGTGGGACCCACCCGGATGAACCTATCCACCAGAGGTGGCGACACCCTTGACTCAATTGAGGTTCCGGGAAGAACCCCCCACACTCAAGATAACCATACCGTCCGTGCTCAGAGACAGGGATAGGTTTGCATAAGTACCTACAAACCGTTGCCCTCACACTGCGGAAAGTTACGTTGCCCTTGAGTGTCCCCGTGAGCTGCGGGTACTTGCCCGTTTTCACCTCCAGGAAAGGTTACTTCCAAAGTCGAGGATTTGCCCACTGAATGCTGGTCGCACACAACAAGCAGGCCGAAGCCCAAAGTACCACAGACACAGGTAGGTTAGAGATTATGATGTACTTCCATCTCTCCTAGAGCTAAACACCCCTCCATCCTGGATAAAGGAATGTCACTGGGACCCGATGCCCAGTCGACCATGTCTGTGGCCAACTTGAAAATGCCGATACCAACACGGAGCATTTACCTCCCCTCTGGGGGCTAGGTATTTCACCTCCCAGGACGAGGCTACTTCCAAAGTCGAGGATATGCCTCACAAAATGTCAGTCGAACACAACAGGTAGGACTCAGTCACAACCACAGTTACAGGTAGATGAGGAGAGGCGGAATTAACGGCGTCACTGAGAGCTAAACATCCCCCCCACCCTGAATGGAGGGAATGTCACTGGAGGCTCCCCCTAAGGGGCTGGCGCTTACCAGTCGTCCATAACTGTGGTCTACCTGAAGTGCCGGGTCTGACACCGGGCAGTTACCTCCCCTCTGGGAGAGCTAGGGTCCGCGTGGTCGCCCAGGCCACGAACCCACGCAAGCGTGAGCCCCCTGCGGTATACTATATGAAATATACTATATGAAATACTGACCCACCTCTATCAACAACAAACTCCTGCCAGGGACCTGGTGACACCTTGACGGAAGCATGCAGGTAGCCTGTATAACACCGCCACCTCCGAAATAAAGTGATGCATGAAGTAGCATGAAATTGTCAGATACACAGATTAGCATATTGAATTGTATTGTAGATGATTAGCAGTAGTTTAATTTTTTATGGATTTAGCTTTAATATCAATCCAAAAGTTCTCATGAACTTTTGAGCTAACCACAACTAACTTACACCCCTTGAACCATATAGGTCGTGTAGAGAAATATTACTTGAAACTATTAATATTTTAAAATTTAAAGTCATCAAGCAAATGATTTACTTGTTAAGTATTCTTCTACATCATCTTAGAGCTTGCAAAAAATGCAGTTTATTCTTATTTAGGTACATAAATATTCCTAATAACACTAAACTGTGCAGACTAAAGCATTGTAAATAGTGTAAATATTATTTTTGGTTTATCCTTGACACAGTCTATCCAGAAATTCTGATCAACGACATCATTGCAGTAGGAATTATCAGGAACTAAATCGCAACATTGTATATCAACTGAACTGATTAGTAATTAACTAAAGGAAACAGAACTGCCAACTTATTGTAGCTTGTTTTGTCTGTAAACAGTATACTCTACGATTGTGATTTGTGTTAATGGTAAGTTTTATACAAAAAACACCCTGCATAAGCAATACAGTGCAGTTGAAACAGCATAGGTGTTATTGTGTGGTTTTTCAGACACTAAAGTAATCCTTGTCCTCATAAATCACTTTATCTAATCGCTTATTTACTTATACATTTCATGGTGAATATTTCTGGTGGTGTATATTGGCAAGGATTCAAAATTCATAACCTAAATATTCGAGATAGGGTTGTTTGTCATTTACCAGAACTTTTGTCATTATCGATAAAAATCAGGGTTTATTTTGAAAAATAGTCTTAAATTTAATAAAGGCACTATAAATTAACAAAATAATAAAAGTCACTAAAGTCGGGACCACGCAAGTTTGCAGTTGGTGGCAGCCAATCACAAGACAAGGCTAGTGCGACGTTGCCACATCGCCCATTGACAACACTAATTAAAATATACTAAGCAATATTTTCAAATCAGCTGGTATTATTCGATTTGGCAACAACGCACAGTTCTCATTGGTTCATTCAAAACCATATGGTAAATAGGCTCCTCCCTCAACTGCAAACTTACGTGGTCCCGACTTATAGAGACTTAGGTCTAAATCCAAAGATCCAACATGACCATGGTATAATAAAAACACATGTTTAAAATTGATTATAAAATTTTAAGAGTTTTAAACTGCTTTTTAAACTTTACAAAATGATCACAGCTTCAATAACAGATAACGTTGTGTTGTTTAAAAATTATTGAGAGTTGTATATTAACCTTAACAATAAAACAAGTTTTCCAGCCTTGAAAATGTTACGAAACACCGCTACAGGTACATAGACTATTACTCGTACAGTTCACTCATTTGCTCACATAGAGCTCTAGATAGAGAATGCGGAGTCCATGATGCGGATTGTTTGGTGATTTTTCTACTCGCGTTCGGGGTTTTAAGTAAACCGGGATTTTCTTTTTTCACACTGTTTAGCCATTTACTTTCCTCCTGCAATAGCGCCTTCTTGGTGGTCGGTACTTTAAACTTAAAGCTGTTTTCTTTGTTTTCACTTGAAGAACGTCTTGAAGATTCCAACATTTTCTTCATGGCTCTAATCTTGACGACATCTTGTTGACAATCATCTTGGATGTCTTGGATGTCCCTCTTGATGGCTTCACACTGTTTCTGCAAAGCATTTACACGTTGTGCTGCCCTGTTCATTAAAGCTTGTTCCATATCGTTCAGGTCAGAGATTATTTTCTCCAAACTAGGTTCAGATTCTTTCTTCAGGTCTGTTTCACAATTTGACGCAGACGGGTCCTCTGGGATTTTTTCCAAGGGTGTGATATGGTTGTACTTGACTGTGTTATTGATAGTGGTGTTCATCAAAGTATTGTCTAGGTCCGTTATCGTCCGTTCATTTAGCTCAAACTCAATCACGGACACATCACAATCCTCGTTGATAGTGCTGAGTTTTCTCCCACTATTTAGCACTGTTTCTTTCATGTCCTCCGTCAGTGTAATATTCTTCTTTCCAGAGTCAGGACTGCCTATGCAGGTGGACGATAAAGGGGGAGAAAACTGCAGTTGAGGATTGGGATCCACAATGGTTAAACGTTCTATTTTATCTAAATCCGGATCCAAGGGTTGTTGCAATTTCTCTTTCATGATGAGCCTGGCAAAACGAGAAGCATCCGGGGAGTTTGGAGGTTTTAGGTTGTTGAAATCAATCGAGTATGATGTTTTTGACAGTTTTTCTTCCAAAAGAATCCTGTCCAGACGAGAAGTCTCTGGTAAGTCTGGTGGTTTCAAGTCTTCACGGTTGCTGATGTAAGATGATGGTTTGGGCTGCACAGAAGTAGAGGGTGCTGGTTTGATGGAGGCAGAAGTAGGCAATGGTCCGTAGCGTAAACTCTCCAGTTCTATTCTGCGTCGCTGAAGAGTGGCAGGCGTTTTGGTGAGTCTGTCAGTCGTCGTCGGTGTTGGGGCTATGCTGGTTATACCTGTCTCATTCTGAAAGAAAAGGATCAAATCAAATTAAATCAAAATTTCTTTTATTTTGTATAAAATAATCATTTTTTACAGTTTTTACAAAATATCATATTACAATAGAAATAGAACTGAATACCTTAAACGTATACGAAATTAATCCCACATGGGAGAACCAGTGCGTGGAAGAGAGTCGTTTTTATTGAGATAGTCGATTTTTATTGATGAGTTTCCATTTTGATTTTCAGATAACAATTAAGCAAGTGGCGGTCACAGGGTGTGGATATGCCAGTCAGGATAACAGAAAAATAACTTTACTAATAAACTGATAGTCCAATGGTGAACTACAAAATAAATGTAGCTGTAACTACTTCATGTACAGCTGGTAATCAGCTTTATTTTTATTCAAGCCAATAAATGTCCTAGAAAGTTTAGCCGTCCAACTTTGCATGGATTAGTTGAAAAATTTCTCAACACTAATGTTGGAGTTTCCACTATTTACAGACTATTATTGTTAATTCTAGACATTGCAGCCCTGTGTCAAACTTGTCAACCTTTTAAAATCTTAAATGTTGGTTTTTTTTAATTTATGAATTAAAACCGTCTACATACCGACCATTTCTTATAGATTATATTCGTAAAGAGTAAACTTTGTCTAAATTTTGTTTTGCTCAGTTGTCGTGTCGTCAAGAGTGAGGAAAAGTAAAGCAAAGTTTTATTGGCGAGGTTTGTAAAATGTTAAGGGATCAATTGTTTGACAAATTTAGTTCAAGTGAACGAAATGCCACTTTGTACGGCACATGATACATGAAAGGTATGGATAGGGTTTTAATACAAGGGAAAAGACTAGCTTGAACATCAATCATTCTTGTATTGAGTTAAAAACACCCTTGGTTTGCTATTTACAGAAGCTTTGGTTACATATACCCAGTGCTTGAAAAGAAATTAGGTGACGAAACTTTAACCTATTTAATGTGATTTGTACTCTTTAATGTACCAATTAATGCCAATATTTTTATATTTCCGAAAGAGAGGTACTGAAACTCCGATCCGCTGCGTTCCCCCACAAATGGAGCACTGAATACATTTTAGAGGCGCAAGATGGACCTAGAACTTTTTTGGGCCATTTGGAGTTTGTGTTGTACAAAATATAAATCGTGACATTTTTTCTAATATTGTGTTGTGAAATCTTTAATTTAATTCAGTAATAGTAGTTGTATGTATTTTTATCCAACTAATACTGTTTTAACCCCTCTCTACGATTATCCTGACAAACTTCAAGTGAGGGGATGTCTTAATTATAGTAGGCCTAAATTTTTATAACTTACCAGAAAATTTTCATTAGATGAATGGAGATTTCTCTCTTGAGCCTGAAAAAAAAACAGAGAATGCATTAATTTTAAATGTTATCCAATGAATAGTTTTGGAATAGGCCTAAAAAAAAACATGCAAAACTTTATAAATATTTAACCTTTAGTCTTCATCATCCCTCAAAAGGCAAAATATTGCTTCTGACACAAAATGTAGGGAATCCATTTGAAAAAGTGTTTTCTTGTAGTTTAAGCTTTATTTTTACTAACATAGAATACCTATTTATTGGTTTTAAGTAACTTTTTAAATGCCAAAAATTTGACATCTTTACAAAGCTATACAAACAATTTAAAAATATGTTTTAAAAATGGTGAAAGGGAGTTGGAGTTTTTATCGTTTAGAAGAATAAATAAAAAATAATCTGTCAATGGAGTCGACAGAAACAGCTCAATTCTAAATCATGTTTCGACTTAAAAGCGTAACAGTGGGGTTTTGTACTACTAGCCGTTCGCAAAATGTCCAACCATAGCTAACTTCCTGACACCAGACTTGACATTAGCCCACACCAGGAAGTAGCTATCATATTTAGTCATCAATTGGTACATGTGGGCGTAGGTTGTTTCAGATCAAATGCTCTTGAATCCAACCTAGTGTAACGTTTAAAAAATTCTATATTTATTGAAAAAATTGTTTCAATACTCTTCAGGTTTTTACGGTACAAAACATACAGTGTGTAAATTAAGTATGGAAACAAATCTGTATTTTTTAAACCAAAATAGATAGAAATATTTGGTTTGTGGCATTGATGTTAACCAAGGTTCCGGAATTTTTTGCATCAGAAAAAATTTTTCACCCCCTCAGGGGGGGTAGGGGTAGGGGGTAACTTAATTTTTTTAAATAGCAACCCCTATTGAGTGACCTCTCATTTTGAAGGGTTTGTCAAAAGAAATACAATGCCGTAAACCTGAGGTCGATATCTTACCCCTAACCAGAATGGCGGCCATTTTAAATTTCGAGATGGGCAAACGAAATCCAGTGTGGATACCCATAATTTACCTTTTAAATGGGTTACATTGGGTAAGCCGAACTCCAGATACCATTATTAGATTGAAAAGTGGATGTTTTTATCGTATTCAAAATTTTGCCCCAGCCCCGTGCAGAATGATAAAAAATCCGTTTATCCTAAAATAAATGGTGGTCAAGAACCAAATGTCAATTAATTATGTTTATAATTATGTAATAAAATTATAAAAAGACATTTTATAAAAATTATTATAGTAATTAAGTAAGAGAGGAAATTATGAAATAGTAAATTGAAATTTTAGAAATAATTTAAGTAGCTTTGGTTATCTCAGCTCCTTCGAAATGCAGATGCACAACGTAGTTTAAAAACGGTTTCTAACTTGGGATTTCCCATTTACCCTTTCTTATCAGTAGCTGTTTGGGTTTCTAAAGGATATTCTTTCGATAATGTTTCATCTACTCATTCTGGTTTAGTTAATTTTGTAGAGAGAGGTGTATTCAAGTGCTTCTGTAGTTTTGTTTAACAATGGTTCTTTTAAGTACACAGCAAAAAATTGACATTCTCCGCATTGTTGGGTATGGGGATAGGTCACGTACATATCAAGAAACTTGTGAGTTATTTAATGAACTGTACCCAGATCATCAAATAAACCGATCTACGGTAAGTAAGATCTGTACTAAGTTCTTGGAAACAGGGGATGTAGCAAATAAAGCTAAAACTGGTCGACGTAAATCAGTTGTAACAGAAGACATGACACTGAATGTGCTTTTGAGTATTCAAGAAAATCCCATTACATCTACTCGTCAGCTCGGTAGTAATCTAGGTTTAAGTCACACTTCGGTTCATAAAGCTCTGAAAGCCGAAAAATTTCATCCTTATAAGGTACAGCTAATTCATGAATTGAACGAGGATGATTTTGATCGTCGAATTCAATTTTGTGAAGAAATGATGCAGCGGTGTATCCAAGATCCGTTATTTAAAACAAAAATAGTATTTTCTGATGAAGCCTCATTCAGCCTCAATGGACACGTCAATAGACAAAACTCGAGGTACTGGTCTGATGAAAATCCACATTGGGCTCAAGAATGCCATACACAAAACCCTCAGAAGATTAACGTTTGGGCAGGAATAGTTGGATTTAGGGTAATTGGACCTTTTATAATTGAAGGTAATTTAAATGGTGATCGTTATCTGGATCTGTTGCGCGAGTCTATTGTACCCGCTATTTCAAGAGAGTTTCCTCCTGAGGATGAAGAGCATGCCGTGGATGAAAGTATTTGGTTTCAGCAAGATGGCGCTCCAACCCACTTCGCTGTAAATGTAAGGGACTATTTGGACCAGACTTTTCCAGATCAGTGGATAGGTAGAAGGGGTTCCATAGAATGGCCTGCAAGATCTCCCGATTTGTCCCCTTTGGATTATTTTTTATGGGGATATCTTAAGAGTAAAGTGTATGTAAATCGACCAGAAAACTTACAAGAGCTTTCAGAAAGGATTCTGGCGGAAGCACGGGCAATTGATCAGCAAACAATTGGCAGAGTATTAAACGAATTTTACAATCGCTTAGGACTTTGTCAAGTTGCTCTTGGCCATCAATTCCAACATCTATGAATTATTCAGGTAATAGCAGCAAACATTACTTTAATAGTAATACCTTTTGTCTGTGTGTGTGTTTTACAGTATTAAATTAGTTTTATTATGTGTTATTATTTATGATGTGTATTATTTGTGCTCTAGATTATTTATTTCCTGTCTTATCTGTACTTCAAACAATTCGTTTGTGACAGGTTTAGCGGTACAAAAGCTATAAAATGACTGATCACTCAATAGGGGCTACTATAACAGGCATTCAACATTTTTAATTGGTGAAATGGGCGCTTTTTTACCCAATCAAGTTTTTGAATGCCTGCCATTTTGTCTAGGGATGACATATCGACCTAAGATTTGTGCCACTGCTTTTGTTTTGACAAACCCTTCAAAACGAGGGGTCACTCAATAGGGGTTTGCGTTTAAAAATTTGGGGCTGCCCCCAAAATCCCCTATTTTGGGGGCTGGGGCAAAATTTTGAATACGATAAAAACATCCACTTTTCAATCTAATAATGGTATCTGGAGTTCGGCTTACCCAATGTAACCCATTTAAAAGGTAAATTATGGGTATCCACACTGGATTTCGTTTGCCCATCTCGAAATTTAAAATGGCCGCCATTCTGGTTAGGGGTAAGATATCGACCTCGGGTTTACGGCATTGTATTTCTTTTGACAAACCCTTCAAAATGAGAGGTCACTCAATAGAGGTTGCTATTTAAAAAAATTAAGTTACCCCCTACCCCTACCCCCCCTGAGGGGGTGAAAAGTTTTTTCTGATGCAAAAAATTGCGGAACCTTGGTTAACAGTCAATGCCACAAACCCAATATTTCTATCTATTTTGGTTTAAAAAATACAGATTTGTTTCCATACTTAATTTACACACTGTATAATGATAAGATAATATTAATCATGATGGTTTTTATTGATGGTAGATGGTTAATATTGATGGATATGGTTTTTAAATTATGTATATATACAGTAGACTCCCTATTATCCGAACTCCTTGGGACCGAGGCCAGTCCAGATTTTTCCGGTTAAACCGACGTCCACAAAAACTCGTTAAAACAGACTGTTTAAATGCATACTGTATACAGTATTTGACTTAAATTTAGGAGTGCATTGTATTTAGACACGTAATCACTGGTCTCGAGAACAGTCGTTTCAGTAACGCCCACTTCCCGCCGATCTAGAGCGGTTAAACCGATGTGCTGATAAAAATTGTCCGGTTAAAGAGATGTCACTTCTGCCGAGTGTAGTCCGGTTAAACTGATGTCCGGTTAAAAGGTGCCCGGATAAGAGAAAGTCTACTGTCATAGGCTATTAAATTGTAATTAAAAAATTAAACATTTTGCAATTCAACCAATATTAGTAATATAAGGCTACAGAATTTATAACATGCTTGGCCATAATTGTTTTTTTAATGCTTAATCGCTCTGGTTAAAATAGTCTAAAAAGGAATAGCAGTGATGATATGAAATTGGTATGTCCAATTCGGTGTCCAAGGATAGAAAAGTTCGCTGCTGCACAGACATAACACAATCCAGGCGTCCAGGAGTTTTATTTCCTGTTTGTCCCAGGTGACCAGACAATTTTTTCAAAATGGCACACATAATGGGCAATGGTCCTACAATACTCGCCCGTCAAAACAAACTTCGCTCCAAGGCCATACCCCCGAAATGCAGATAGATTCTTAAACAAATTTATAATCTTGGAACTTATTGCACTTAGAAAAAAGAAATTACTCTTATAGTCATATTTTTTATGATATTCATTTTCCATTTAATACAGCTTAAGACAGTTGTTAAGAATCCAACATTTACATTACAGACAATAATTGCAGTACTACCAATGATGTATGCTACTGAATTGTTTGTTTGTTATTATCTGACTTGTCCAACATTTCAGCTTTTCCTACACTGGTGAGGCGGGTTTAGGTCGGATGCTTGAGGCTCTAATGTAACAAAAAAAGAGAGTGAGATGGTCTAGTGTTTGTGTTAGATTGCGAGACACCAAAGTCCCAGGTTTAAATGCCGCTGATCCCCAATAGGTTTTATCTAAGTGATAACGTCGCAAACTCTAGGCCTAGTCTGAATTTATTAGACTAGAGCCAAGTGTAAACTAGAATTACGCAAATATTTTATTATCAAATGGTTTTAGATACTCGGGTATAAGTTATAATGTGAATATTACTTTTAGTACATACCTGTGATCTGTAGCCAACCGTGAAGTTGAATCCAGGACTTTTGGTGAACAAGCATTTCTTAAAATCCTTAAAATCCTTTGGGGTCTTATCAAATTGATGTGGCGTTCTCTTCTTTGCTGAAAGATATAAAGTAAAGATTACTACTGTATTAACAAGTTCCAGATGTAGCCAAACAAGATAATTAAAATGTGACACCAGTATGGTGTATTTTACTTTTTTGACTACCATGTACCTGGTACCCGTCTCTTTGTCACGATTAGTTTCATGGGGGTATTACATAGAATGATGTTAGGGAAAAAAGACGATCATGAAAAAGTATCAGTAGCAATCTGTGATTACATTTCTGAGATCCAAGGGATCAAGACCTTGCTATGGGGAAAAGTTAGATAAAAAAGGTCCGTATTGGGCGGTGGGTGTTGGAACGTTTAAACATTTGTACAATGTAGGCTGGCTGCAGTTTTTTGTCAGTTTTGTTGTAACAGAAACCATATACAGGGATATTTTGCTTGCACACTACCAAAGACAATGATTATAATCTGGGTAGTATTAAACACGCTAATCCACAAAGTTTGAAATTGAATTACTGTCTCCGTAACAGATGAGCCTACACCATTCTTAGCTAAAGCTGACCTTTTGCGTACCAGTGTAAGCTAAATATAAATACAAGCCTTCTGTAAGCCTTCTGTAAGCTTCCTAAGCATATTTGCAACGTTTTTATGTCCATACTCTTTTCTTCATCACCAGGATATAGACAGGTAATGGATTTCAATAGGGATTGAACTCCCTCACCTACAACAGGCTTTTCATCGGTAGGCTATTCCTAGAGTGTGATAATTGTCAGGACAGTGATTTTCCCTCACTTCATTATCGGATACTATGAGATCGCATTAGAAGCAAGCTGGCCCAGCAGTGGTAAAGCGCAGGGCTTCGGATCCTGAGGTCCCGGGTTCAAATCCCGACAATCACCAATGGATTTTATCTATGTGAAAATGTTGACCCTCTAGGACTAGCCTGAAGTACAGCAGTTCCAGTCCAGAACATATCGTCCAGGGATGTGAAGGTGGAACAACAACAAAATTACGAGATTGCCGCATTTGGGTTGGAACCGGTTACAGTGGGTAGTGGTAAAGTAGGTAAATAGCACGGAGATAGTTCAAGGTTTGAAATAGCATAATGGATTTATTTGTAATACATTATTGTAGGCCCTATGGGCATCTTTGGCAATTCCCTTTGACGTTTAAATTCCTGAACATTATATTAGCTACATTACAACCTGGTTTCTCTCACCTGATCTTCCCCGCCAACTGTCGTTGGATCTCTCACCGCTGCATCTCTCACCACTGCTTGAAGTTGTTGCCTGCGGCACAGCTGTTCTCGTCTGCACGGGCTGTTGAGCTGCCAGGTGTCTCCGACCCAGCATACTTCTTCTCTTTTTAAACATTCTACAAAAGGAAAACTCTTTTATATGAAAAAAAAACTAGTTAGGCCTAATTTAAGTAACTTACCTAAAATTCCTGCTTTGAAGAATAATATTGGATACAACATATTAGGCTTACTTAACTTAGCCTGGCAAGTCTTATTAAATATTTTTATTTTAGATCAACTAAGTTAGCCATAAAAGCAAGATAAGGATGATAACTTATACAACAAAGGCTGATCACATTATGTTTGCCTCGGATGGACATTGGACATATTTTAGGAAATTAATGGCAAAACACCATCTGAACATTATGTTTGGGAAACATGTTTTCCTCTTGATTGCACTAAATGTAACTGTATCTAAAACGCACAACCAGGCCTAACTTATACCGAAATAAGTAATGTTAGAATCTATGTTATGGCAATGCAAAATTAGGTATGATCACGATAAATTTTAGGCAAGAAAGAAGTGGCGAGTGGTAGGCTTATTGCAAAAATTAACTAGGCCTAACTTAAGTCGGTCCTGTTCACAGTCTAGAAGTCATCCAGTTAAAAAGAACTGGATAGCTATCGAACAAATGATTCCTTTAAGCAACAGGAAAAAAAAACGCAGATATCAACTAGGCCTACATTGAGAAGCAAATCAAATCAAATCAAAATAGCATTTATTCCGCCAAAATATTTACATAGCCTATTACATCATATTAGTTCCATACAAGAATGTTTACAATAATGTTTAGTTTTTCAATAATAAAATTTTAACATAGGCTAAACATAAAAATATAAAAAAGCTTTTTAAATTAGGCCTAGCGAAATATCTTCCACAAAGACGGAATACCTGAGCTGTGTGTGGAAGAGAGTCGTATTTTATATAGGCCTATATATTATATAGCAAGAATCAAGTCATTTATTAACTGCATTGGCCTTATGTAGACCAGGGGCCCTGTCACACGAGGCAACTGGTGGCGTCAACCAATGTCCGCCACTGGTTGGCCGCTGCAGCTTTAACATTGTTTTAAGTGGGGGGTTTCAGACGCAGCCTCTGCAGTTGCCCGTCAGGACACAGTGGCCGAACAGTGTCTCTTCGCGCAACTGCAAGTGGCAACCACAGTGGCGGCAACTCATGGCGGGGCTTTAAATTAAATGGGAGTCTTCAGACGAAGCCACTAGTGGCCGCCACCGTGGATACGCGTGCATCTACTATAAACCAATAATAACAGTAAACAATAAACCAGACTATAGGCCTAACCAATAAACAGTCAGTTCATGTGCAGATACAAACGCACTTGTGCTAGTTGTGGAGTGTTTTCTTGTAGACCTGTTTATTTTTTTGGTTAAGAAATGAGTGATCAGAAGAAAAACAGAACAGAATAAGAGACTAAACAAAATAATAGAAGACAAAATTAATACTAACAACATAATAAAGGCCATTGTCCTTCCTGGAGGTTGGTATAGTACGGACATGGAACATACGCCTGCGTCTTTGCCTTCTTTTCTTAATTAGTAACACGAGAAGGAGATGTGCATTGCTCATCAGCATTTTCTCAACTATTGTAGCTTACGGTGGCTGTTTGTGGAGTGGCATGTCAGTTGACTGTACCATCCACTGTAGTTGCCCGGCTGGTAACTGGTGGCGGACACCAGTGACTTCCATATCTGTTGGCACAAACAACTGAATGAAAATATCGATCAATATATCGTTTGGTTAGTTAGGTAAGGTTAACCTAACCTAACTAACGAAACGATGTATCGAATAAAACAATCAAATAATCATTATTTTCATTCGGTTGTTTGTGCCAACAGATACGGAAGTCTACCCCACCTGTGACCTCGTGTGATAGGATCCTAATGTCCTTAAAGGTAAGTAAAGAGCTACACTGCTACACTGTTGTTGATATTAACAGTAGATAAAAGAGTTGTTTTAATCAAATGTCATTGTATGGAAGAATATAAATCTAACTCAAGTAGCCTATCTTAACTAAAATTTGTTAAATAAAGGGTGTAGTCCAAGATAGGATATTGTGATTAAAATAGGCCTAGGCTAGGCCTGTTAGCCTAGCTATTCAGTTTCAGATCGCAAGTCGAGCTTTGTCATTGGTACGAAGGATACTGCTGGCCTAGTAGCTGGCGAAAAGAAGGCTTGGCTCTACCTAGGACGTCTACACAGTGATACAACTGAAGAAGCAGTTAAGAAATATATCTCAGACTCTTTTGCGGATGTGACTGCCACGGTAGAGAGGCTAGAAAGTAAAGGCTCAAACGCAAGCTTTAAAGTTGGTGTTGATTTTGAGAAGAAAGACAAACTTTTCAATAGTTCAGTATGGCCTAAGGATGCAGTTTTGAAACGTTTTTTATTCAGAAGAGGCAGGAGCAAGGTCCCGAGTTAGTAACGAAGGCTGCAGAAGATGTAGTACCAAAAGGGCCTTGCATTATATCTCCACAGCCTAGGCCTACAGACAAAGATAGTTTTAAATTAGTTTATGTTAATGTCCAGTGTCTTAGGACAAAAATCAACCTTGTCTCCCTTTTTGTGGAAAATGTGTACCCCGACATCTTGTGCCTTGGTGAACATCATCTGGAGAGCCAAGAGAGTGACCACTACAGCTTAATTGGACACTTGAAATTGGCTGCTGGTTATTTTCGCTCGGACCATAGGAGTGGAGGAGTATCAATATACCTGAACCCTGACCTAGCATTCGATGTCTTGGATGTAAGGGCCTTCTGCTGTGAACTGGACATCGAACTTTCTGCTGTTAGGCTGACTGAGCTATCTGTGATTGTTCTGGTGTTATACCGCTCTCCCGATGGAAACTTGGAAATCTTCTTTCGCTCTTTAGACAGATGTTTAGCTAGCCTAAATCAACTGGGCCTGCCGATAGTTTTGGGGGGTGATGTGAACCTTCACCTTAACACTGAAGATAACCCTTCAAATATATTTATGTGTCTTCTTCATACCTATGGACTGTATATAACAAACCGTGCACCTACCCGGGGGAAGTACTGCCTGGACACCATTGCAACGTCTCTAGATTCTTGGGACTACAAAGTATACGTGACAAACCCTGTCATAGCTGACCATGATGCTGTGGTAATGGACCTACATAGGAACCTGGTGAGTACGACTTCTCAAAATTTACCTTGGCATGTAAACTACTCTAGAACTATTAGAACTATTAAGGATGAGAGCCTACCCTTATTTAGAGCTGCCCTCATGAATGTAAATTGGACTGAAATATTAAACAACTGTGTAGGACTATCTAGTTCTGAAATTACATTCAATGATTTCTTCAATAAAATTCAAGAATGATCAGTTCTTCCCTACTAGAACTACTAATATGTCCCTGTGCAGACATGCATCGTCTAAACAACGAAATCCGAAATCCCCCTCTCTAAATAAGGGTTGGTACACACCTAGGCTACAACTACTTAGGAATATAGTGCTGGCACTAAATGATCGTTGTAAAGCTAGTATGGGTGAAGAGGTAAGACTTAGGTTTTATGATTCTTATCTTAGGGCTAAAAGGCAATACAGATATGAAGTTGACCTTGCAAAAAAGAATGCTAATATTCTTGCGATTAAATCCTCCAGTAACCAGTGCAAAGCTGCTTGGAATTTGGTAAACCATGTTGCAGCATCTAGGAAATCTACCACTAAACCTAAAGTAAAGGCGAGTCCGGACGACTTCAATCGCTTCCTTTTGAGCCAAGTTGATGACATTGTTGAGTCCATACCTGATACTGGTTTGTCATTGGATGATGTATGTCTACCAGTCCATACCCTAAGAAACAATGCCATAGAATTTGTAAGTTGGACTTCGGTTAGCCCCAGTGAGATCATTGGGCTTGTGAAACATTTCAAGAACAAAAAGTCTCTTGACATATATGGCATGTCTGTAAATGTTCTGAAATATGTAATAGATGTCATTGCTGATCCCTTAAGCCAGGTGATTAATAGATGCCTACAAGAGGGGTGCTTCCCGGATGTCCTGAAGCTTTCGAGAACTGTGCCTGTTTTCAAGAAGGGGGATCCAGCTGATCTAAAGAGCTACAGACCGATATCGGTTATCCCTGTACTGGCCAAGATCATGGAAACAATCATGAAGTCCCAACTAGTCGCATTCTTTGAGGATAATTCACTTTTTTTGAATGCCCAACATGGATTTAGGTGTGGGAGATCAACCGTCACAGCTATGTCTCAGCTGGTGTCTACGTTGCTCGACTCTTTTGAGGCCAAGGAATCCACTGCTTTAGCTCTTGCAGATTTGAGCAAGGCTTTTGACTGTGTCCCCCATGCCCTTCTCATCGAAAAACTTAGAGCATATGGTGTGAATGGTCTGGTGCTTTCCACCCTCAGTTCCTATCTGTCCGACAGGAGGCAAATTTTAACACTTGATGGGGCAAATTCTAACCCGTTGGCCATTAAGCACGGAGTGCCTCAGGGCTCAGTCATCGGACCTACCCTGTTCCTGGTCCTAATAAACGACCTTGGTCTGTTAGGAAACATCCTTCTTTTTGCTGACGACACCACTATCTTCGCCAGCGCAAACACCCCAAACTTATCCCAGGAGCGAGTATCTGACACCTTCGGTCTTGCTAAACAGTGGTTTTCGTCGAATAAACTGAGCCTGAATGAAGCCAAAACCCAAGAAATTACATGTAGTCTCAGCCTCAGCCTGACAAATGACCTGAATGAGGTTAAGCTTTTGGGCTTTACCCTAGACCCTAAATTGACCTGGAACAGTCATACAGACATAATCTGCCTTAAACTTGCCCGGGTGATTTTTCTGCTAAGACGCCTAAAACCCTTACTGTCCAAGAAGCACTTAATCGAGGTATACTATGCACTCTTTCACACCCACATTGTGTATGGCCTCTTGTTGTGGGGACATTCTTCTGGATGTCAAAACATTCTTCTCCTGCAGAAAAAAACTGTAAGGCTGATCGATTCTGCTGAGTACCTAGAACATAGTAGGCCTATTTTCAGCAAACTGGGTATACTGACTATTTATAGTCAGTATATCTTGCTCAGTTTGACCTACATTAAAGAGAACAACTTGTCCCTTACGAAACGAGCAGAACATCACTCCTACAACACCAGAGGTAAAGACCAACTCGATGTGCCATTCTGTAGGCTAAGTAAGAAGAAAAACTGTTTCCCGATACTAGCAATGAAACTATATAATGCATTGCCAGCTAGTACCAAGGATCTTGATCCCCGCAAGTTTAAGCGAACAATTGGAAAATGGCTGAAAAAAACACCTCTCTTCTCTATTGAAGAATTTTTTGAAGAGGTCAAAAAACCATAAATCCTGCCGCCAATCTGTAAATATTCAAACAGTAAATTCAAGTTTAAGTTTTTATTTTTCTTGTGACGATGGACTGCATAGTTCTAAATATTAGTTTAGTTAGTATCGACTCAATCTATCCAGCAACTGCTGGTCAAAGATGAAGAAAAGAAGTATGAAGTATGAAGTACTAGTTAGTTTTCTTTCTTCCAATTTATATAAAATTATTTAAGCTTATTAGCATGTTCAAACACTCAGAAGAACGCAACATATTCCGTGACTTAAACCAATAAATCTAAAGCCTGATTTGACTTGTCTCAAAGATAAACTTTACTAACCTTTGAGGTTATCCTTTCGAGCCCACCACAAATTTAGCTTTAATACTTCAAATAAGTGTATTTCCTACAAATGCTTGTGAAAAGTATCTATTGTATACAGTAACCCCCTCAATTCTGAAAGCAGATATGAAACAACAACTAACGATTACTAAAAGAAACAAGAAACTATCACTATCACTCTATTATTCTAATCAAAACATTCAAAATTTTAAATTTGAGTTTATCGTTTCTTCCTTCTTGTCCAGTCGTCCAGTCCCAGTCAGTCCACTCCACTTTTTTTTACCTGCTGGACTGGGCTGCATGACGTTTATTTATTCTATTCTATGTTTCCTTTCCAAAACCCCTGTTCCATTCATGGTCCTGTTTCATTATGAAAGAGTTTTCATATGGTCTATATAAAAATTAAATACTCTCGACGCAGCAAAACTGCAGACTAAGCCAATTTCAATAAGTCTGATTGGATTTTAACTCAAATATTTCCATCCATAAAGAAGATATTTATTCTCCATTTAAATAACATTAGATTTAACGAGTACTTAGGTCGGATGCCTTTTTTTATAAAATGTTAATAGGTAATGTGCTTTGGTATAGGGAAACAAATAACAGATCCGTTCAATTAATGGTTAACATATTATAGTAACTAACCAACACGAAAGTTCTCTCTGGTCTAAACCAACTTTGGACAGAGCAAAACAGGTTCGTGACAAGACCCCCTACCCTTAAAACAGAAAACGTAAACGGATGGTTAAGTGAACAAACTGATAACAAAATGTATGTGGTCAATGAAAAATAATTATGTTTAACTATCAATGGCTTAACGTCCTACTACCCCATTTCTTGATTCTTTGCGCAACCGTGAGACAGACGACCTAAACGCGGATTCCAGCAAGGGTTAGAGGACCAACAGGGCAAGATAGAGTTATAAATAGATGACGAACTCAGCAACAACTACCCCCATCCTTGGCTAAGCTCACACTGGCTGATTCTATTAGTATATTGAATGATATGGTGTTTGTTGAATGTCTCGTAGTTCTTTTGAAACTGAACACAAAATTTATGGAGCACACCACTCGTCAGGACTGGTTAAGTCAACTCAAACCAGTACAAGCACTTGACACATTTTGTATTGTACCTAGTAGAGTTACTTGTTACTTACTTACTTGTTACTTGTGGGTGTTCGCCTCCGCTGTCCTTAAGAAAGGGGGCTCGTCCGGATTTGTGTCTTGCTTTTCCCTCCTCCGAGACTTATTTACTTTTTCACCCCCCATAGGCAAGAGGCCAACACCATTGATTGTATCTCTCCCCCAAGAGATGTAACGCCAAAACAATGGAAGGTCCCATACATCCGAATGCAATATCTAAGTTAAAACATTGATTATACATCTGCCCGGGAGATGTATACAGCAATTAAAGTTAAACTCATAGTTAGGCTTAAACTCAACTAGTTCCCGAAGATTTTCAAAAATATCTCATATCACCTAAATAATGTAGCATACAAATCGTTTAGTTTCAAAGAATTCGGAGCTATTGCAACTTGAAATTATTCGGAGCTATTACAATGCGATTCGCCTCGGAGTCTAATGTGTCGAAGCGATTGGACTTAGACCCAACGGGACTATATGGGCTGGGCTGGATACATCTAAATAATTTCACGGACCAGCGGCAAGATTGGGTCAAAAGAACGGGGTGCTATGGCGCTTTTTTAATTTTTCTAAATTGTATTTCAAATAATGTATACCCTACAAACACAAAAATTAAAAATTGTTATCAGCTCCATCGCTTAGAGCTTAAAAAAGAATTTTGTAGCGTTGTTGTACAATTATTAGGTTTATGGAGAAAGTTAAACAAATGTAGGCCTAATTTTTGAAATTCCCATATCATTCTTATGGAGAAAAGGTATTATACGTTTTCAGTTTGCTTTTGTTTAGTGGCATATTTTGATAGAATTTAACACATTTATTTATTTTATAATACACTACTATATTACATTTCATTAGAAAAACACTTATTCCCTGTAGCAGCAAACCTAGGTACTTTTTAAATCTATTGTCATTTATGGGAAATAAAAATATGACTTGGTAATGGAAATGTATTTGTTATTCAATCAGACAAACTAGTGTACATGTTGCTCGAATTCGAGCAATTGCAAAGTATTGCAGGAGTTATTTCAAAACGAATTGCACAGGTCATATTTACAATGAGTTTAAAAGAGTCAACTCAAAGATTACCGGTGTGTAACTCATGGAGAAATTCACGATGTATATAACGGTAATAAACATTTCCTGTAAATATTTGATCATATTTCGTAACCTGGTATTGCTTTTTAATGTTTTCTACAAACATTTCCTGACTTATAGCCAAATAAGGTTGTCCATGTTTATCTTTTTTATTGATAAACCTAAAGCATTCCGGTCGGTTTTCTCCTTCTCAAAATGCCTCGCTGTACAGGCAATACAGGTCATTGATAGAGGGCCAATTGAGAACGAAAATTCGTTTTGGGGTAGTGTTAGGGCGCATTGGTAACCTAATAGTTGAGATTGTCCAGGGTCAGGTGCTGACTGTGATGAGTTACTACGCCTCCTGTCCATGTTTCGTTGTCGTCGCGTCGGAGGAATTTAAAAGAAAGAAACAAATAAACAAATTATAGCTACACAAAACCACGATAAATGCACAAATTTAAGATACAGCCATACTAACACGATCCGTCTTGGGGGATATGTTTACACAAACTCAAATAGTAAATAAATGTACTGCAATAATATTATACAGCTGATCAAAATGTAAACAATTATGTTCTGCATAAGGATAACATGGGAACTTTCGAAGCCACTGGGGCAGAGCCAAGGAACTTTTTCAAAAATGTAAGGCCAGTTTGCAAATCTACGCGACACGCTCTTTCCAATGAGACGTCAATGGATAAAATCGGTTAAGAAATGGCGGAGGAGTTCAACCGACAAAGTTTCATGTCGCGTATTAATTATATAGATTGAAATTCCCTTAGGCAACAGGTTTGCTGTGACGGGGATATACATACATAACATGTTCTTCATTTAGTTTATTATTTGATTTTTTATCATGCTGTCATTTATTGTATTTTACTTTTATTGTATATTTCGATTTTCTCGGCTTTATTTAAATAATAACGAAACACAAAATAGTAATTTGAATGCTATTATTAGCTTATTTTTATAAATAATGTTCCTTTATTTAAGGAGTGCTAACAAGTCTGAACGAGTGATAAAAATTGATGTTTTATGACCACGCGTGTGACATTGGTTAAGAATTTATTATTTTATATCATGCTAGTAATATGTTTTTAGTTACTGTAATTCCTCCTACGCTTTTCAACTACTCCGATTTTGATCATTTTCGTATCCTAGATATATTTTTGCATTGAAATGAAAACACTTTTGTACTTTTTGACTATGCAAGATTTTCTGACATTTATTTTCCAAAACTTTCCCATAATTCACAGACCACAAAGGTCTGTTCCCGCCAATTTGTGAAGGTTGAGGGCAGATTCTATTTCTCCCTCTCTTTCCCGCCCTCTTTCTCTCTAGGTGTCCTTGCCCTTGCCGGGGTAAATCTCTCGCCCCAGTCGCCCCTCCTAAAATCACCAAAGTCGTCATGAGCCTAGACCGGACATCCGGACATCCTAGGTTTTACTCCGTGTCTTGTAATTAGTACCAACCCAACTATGTAATAAGTCCACGTCCTATGTCTATTGCAGCAGAGCTCAATGTAGTGTGTCAGTTTGATTTTACACACATCTCAACGTGTGTATCTGTTTATGATTTTGTCACCTTCCATGGCCAGTTAAACCAAAGGGGTTTTGCCTCGCCAACGACGTTACCCCATTCAATATCCTCTGCTACTTCAGGAGTTTCCACGTTCCACTGAATATAACACATGGCTCTTCCACTCCAGCCTTGTCCTGCTAGCGCATAGCTGTCTCGTAACTTCACGAATCCGCCCACTTCAACTTTGGAGGTACCATCTCACCTGTACCCATCCCAATCTGCTTTTATCAAAGCATGCAGATTATGGTGGTGATACATCTTTCAATTTTCTGTTTTTCTTAATCCTACAACCTCCTTCGTCTTATTTTATTCATACGGTATGTACAATTATTGGTACACATAAATAGAAAAGTAGAACATAAATTTTAATTGACTCATTATTTGAGCAAAATTCAGTAGGGCACAGACATTAAACATCTAAGTCGGGGGTTTGATATCGGTTCATGAAAATACTGATGTGTTTCTACAAAATTTTGTTAAAAAGATTAATTTAGTCTAAATCAAAATAGTTTAGCCTCTTGAGGACGTAAGCAAGTTGAAAGGGCGCCAAAGCCGGATTTCCTACACGAACGGTCGATGTATGTAAATATTGTAACTCGAGTAGTCGCAACCCCACAACGGTTCTGTACCTGGGACTAGGACCGGTGTGAGAAACTTGTCACTAGACAGGCTTGAGTAGTAGTATGATGGCTTCAATCAGCTCATTAGTGGTTTACATGAGTGTTTTTACTACCCAATTCCAAAAGGGATAAATAAGTTGCTGCGTTCACTGTTCAGCGTTCAACAGAAGCTTTTTGGTGGTAAAACTGGACCCAGATTCCCTTGACTATTGGGCTGTTAAAGTGGTCCTATCTGAAGAATCATTTAATCCTGGTAATAAAACTATGTAAGCCATTCCACAATTATCGCTCATTTTCCAAAGTATGCACTCTGGATTTGTCAGCGTGCATGAATCTAATGTTTCTTAATATTTCATAAAGATATGTAGCATAGTTTCGAAAACAAAATAGAATTAATGACAAAATGAAAGCTCACACAACGTTACGTAACAAGAAATTTTGATATAGTCTGTGTGATAGAACCTGTATCCTGACCCTTCGTCTACCTGGGACTGGCCCGAACCTTGAACCATTGGCGTAGACAACAAGTAGACATCTGTAGGAGGTCAGGACAGGTTCCATCATACAGACTTACATCCACTTACAGCTGTTATGTTGTCGAATTACAGTCTTGGAGTGATGGCCGCGTTTTATAGACAAAATTCTGAGTTGGATTGTATTTTTCCCCGAAAATTTTGGCAACTATGTTCGCCAATAAACGACTCGGT